AGCTTAGCAAGACCAAAGTCACCAAGCCTTCCATTTAGCTCAGAATCCAACAACACATTTCCTGCTTTAATGTCTCTATGAATCACAGTTTGCTCCCAACCTTCATGTAAATACAATAGCCCTGAAGCTACACCTTTGACAATCCTGAACCTCTGCTCCCAGCTCAAAATTGCTTTGGGGTTTTCAAACAGGTACTTGTCCAAGCTCCCATTAGGCATAAAATCATATACAAGCAACAAATCACCACGCCTACGACACCAACCCAATAATTGAACTAAATTTCTATGGCGAAGACGACCAATGCTAGCAATTTCAGACACAAATTCTTGAAGACCCTGTTTTGATTCATTGGATATTCTCTTAACAGCAACTTGGGTATTTGAGTTTGGCAAAGTTCCCTTATAAACTTTACCAAACCCACCAAACCCAATTACCTCTTTTTCTCTGAAGCCTCTTGTGGCATGCTTCAGCTCCCGGTATGTGAATCTGTGAGGACCAATGTCAAGCTCCCAAGCTTCAATCACCTCAGCGTTCTTGATTCTGTGAATGATGTAGAAAGCCAACCCAATGCCTAAGATCAAGACCAGAAAAGCAGAAACAGAAACACCCACAATTACACCTGTGTGTGTTTTTTTGGGCCCAGGGAGTTTAGGCAGAGCATCCAAAGAGAGAGACTTGGCATCTCCATTCATTTTGAAGCTCCAACCAGAGACATAGTGCGAGCTGGCTAGCAACCCAGTTGAGGCAGAGAAGCCAACGTACATAAAATCTTGAAAAATTGGAGAGAGATCCACATCGAAGGTTAAAATTGGAGATGTGGGTTTGATAGAATCAGGGGAAAGCTTAACAGTTACTTGGTTTTTCACTGAATCGTAATCTACCCAGGCCTGGATTACGTGACCACTTTTGAGATTGAGGCTCTGTTTTGTTGAATTTTGACTGGTGAAATACCCAGCTGGAGTTGATTTGTTGGAGGCCAAGCTGTTTATATCGATGCCAACATGGTTGTCATTGATGTCGCCAAATTCAAAGTCCTGCACAGTGTCAAATTCAACAGCAAAGATGTGGTTTGAGAAGTTGCCGACGACTGTGGAGTTGAGAATACCAAGGTACTGGCTTGGAAGAGACCCAGGAAGCTCCTTTGAAGGTGAGATTATGAAGGCGAGGCCATGGCCGCCGAGCTTGGGGTACTCTGGGACTATAGTGAAAGCAAAAGCGGTGGAAAAGGAGAAAGCTTTTCCATCAGTTGAGTTCTTGAATTTGATTGGAGACGAATAGAAAGCGTGACCCAAGACTCTACGAGTGTCGTTTGTGAGCTTTAGCATGCCATTGGGCTCGATCTCTGCGACCCCATTTAAGCTCATGTTGCTGCCAACGCCATTGAACCCATTGAAGTGGAGCTCTTCATCAAGCTGAGACTTTACTGGGTTTGTGAGGAAAAGGAGAAAAACCAAGAAAAGTATGAGTCTTCGATATGCCATAAGTTGACAGAGGGGAGAGAAACGGAGTTTGTGAACCAGATGGAAATGGAGTTCCAGTGCTATTATGCTGGATTTGCTAGGTTAAGGTGTCGGTGTATATGAAATTGTTTTTCATATTTTCTAATTGTTTAGTGCGTTGCTTTGGCTGGTTGTGGAGGAAGGGAAAGAGAAAGAAGCAGATGGTATGGGGATGTCGGGTTGCATTTCATTTGAGATAACTGAGTAGGATTGAAGCTATTTTACCGCTAGGCCATTTGAGCCTCCACCACCAACTTTGATTCTTTTAAACCACATATGGTTGTTACTTGTTAGGTCGGTTCACTTTCCACAACTTCCATCTTCTTTTCCTTTTCCAACTCCGCCCATAAAATCGACTTTTAAGGTAATTTCCACAAACATCTAATCATGCACAAAATACATCCCAATACACGTAATCGTAATCATGTACACAATGCATATATAATATCAGGTAAATTCCATTTGTTTCTTTTGGATTTATAAGAATTTGAATATGGAATGTCTTTTATTTACCGATGACGTTGAGTTATCCAATTAATTTTTCGTAAAATCCAAACCCACCTAGCATTATCCGTTTAAAAATGCATCATTACTCACAAGCATCGGTGGGTGAAAACACAAAGTTAACTTTGTCATGGTGTTTAAGTTGAATAAGCAAGAGATGATAATAGAAAATACATGACGTTCGCACTATGCATGATAATAATAGCAGGGAGGGTGAATTTTTTTACTCAATAATTCACACAAGAGTGTTCCTATTCGAAATGTGAGAAGACGTTTCACAATTACCAAAAACCCTTAGACAATCTGAACCAACACATACAAGCCATTATCTTAAGTATTTTTTTCTAAATAATTATGGATGGTGGAATAATAATGGCTTGGCATACAATGCATATAAGCTGAACTCAATTTGTCCAGGTCGAACTGCATTATGACACCTTAAATATTACATTACAACAAAAGACAACTATAATATCAATACGACACCACAAAACGCTGTTGGTTTTATACGTCCATTTTCTGGTACAGCATCACCAGCAGAAACTTTCCCTCTGTTTTTGGATTAAATAAAACACACGCGTTTGTTTCACCTGCTTAGACATATAGTTTATGATGGAGCACTATCGCGCATGCTGCAATGCCCTTTGTTTTTTCTTCAATTTTACGTTTTATTTATGTAGTTTTAAATAATATATAAAGCTTTTTGTTTTTATTTCGGTTGAAAAATAAGTTAATGGAAAAACAAAGACAAAGAACAAAGAATATTGAGATGTGCAAGTGTCAATGCCCACCAAACAAGGTCGGAAAGTCCCATGCCATGAGAGCAAATGGTAGTTGCCCAAGTGCAACATTCATGAAATTTTCTTGACCATTTTGGAAGGCTAAACATTGTGGTGGTGTATGCTTTATCTACTTTCGGTGTGCCAAATACGTGTTGATGCATTCGTGGTTTGGTTGGAGACAATTGGGATCTTATTGACATGCAATTGGCTTTTGTTTGAATCTTTTGCTACCACCCATTTTCAGACCCACATGTTCTTTGTGTTTCATACTAAAAATGATTGTGGTCGGTTTTAATGAAGTCCCAAAAGTTGTATTAAATGTCATTGATTCAATAATATAATTGACTCTTTATTCATAATTGCGTAAGTAAAAATTAATATATGTGAGTCGTTGACGCAAGTGAATACATATATTGTATGTGAGCCGTTTATTCTCGCACCAAACTCATGCCCCATGCATGGTTATTGTATAGATAAGGTCCAAATTAATTAGCACAAGTTGTGAGGAAAAAGACTAAATTAAGTTTGATTCTATTGACATAGAATGAAGACAAAGGGTATCTTTCATATTGTATTTTTGGTATTGCATTGCAATTATTTGCTAGTGCGAGGGTCGTAATTGGACTACTGAATTGAATTCTAACCAAAGTTATAATACAACCAAGGAGCTCAAGTATTGTAAACTTACGGCTATGAATCTATGACGTAGATAATATACACTTGGGCAGCTGAGGTCATTAAAATGCTTAAACAAGCTATTACAAATCATGTAGTGGAAGTAGACATTGGACTGGCCTTTGAATGGCTCTAACTTTGATTGGTAATCCAATTATATGAGGGATGAAAGTCACCTTGTGTCCGATTGGGTAATGTAAGAGAACTCGTGGCTCAAGTAGTAAACACATGTACTTTTACATCGGAAATCATATTCCCTCAACCAATGTGCAAATACCTCTCTGTCAAAATAATCCGTACAATTAATATTAATATTATTATTTTAAGTATAAGTGATGGGGATCGGGGTCCGAACACAGGTTATCAACAACATACACTAGCATTGAAATCTAAGGTTAGTGCAAACTCACATATATCGCAGCAAATCCATGTCACAAATAAACTATTTCATTAATCATTAACATCCACACCCCTACAACTATTACATTAGCCTTATTTATAGGCTTTACAAGACTTGGACACCAAGGCTACTTAGTCCAAAAGTAAACTAATTAATTATAAAATCACACATAAATAATAAAAGATATCCTAAAACTACATTAATAAGAAATAACTGATTAAATGGTAAATATCTATCTTGATCTACCCCTATGCTCATACGTCAATAAGTGATAGACTAAACTCACATACGCAACTAAGATATCATAAGAATTTGAACCTGAATTCTCTTATCTATAAATTAAAATTCATTTTTATTGAACTAGATCCCGTTAACTCCGTACAGTTATCTTAGATTATGAAGACGCCTCCAACATTTAATAGTATTCTGTTGTTTATTTTGTTTGTAGGAGATTTTTGGTCTCCCACACCACTAAAGTTAGAACCTTTTATTGCAATAAAATAATTTGATGCGTGAGATGTAATTTACGAGGTCAAAGACTATTGCAAACTGCTCGTTGTTGTACCTTTGTGACATATGGCATTGGCATTGTTTGACAAGGACACAATTGCCGAAGTGTTGACTTATTTATCATTTATCAATTTGATTCCTGAGTCAAGTAGAACTAATTTGAATATGATGTGTGTTTCAGATAAGATATTTACCACGTGAAATACACAACTAATTAAAAACACATAAAACATATCTCAATCTAGAAAGTCCGGTTACAAGATCAAGATCAAGATTTTATTTTTTATTTTTATATCATATATATGTATAGCTTTGCAGGTTATAAGTCTCATGGCCTGATATTTATGATTTTCCCATATTGAATGTAAAGATGCAGAAAACTTCCATGAGGGACAAGAACAAAAGATAGAACAGAACATGAGGAACTGAACTAACTGAAATAACTGATGGGGAAGATCAAAAGCACCTATTGATGACAATGAATAGTGTACATTATTACACAAAATTACATGACACCAATCCAACAAAAGGAAAACAGCAACATAGTTATTGTTTCACCACAACATCCTTAAAAAAAAAGAAGGTGCTTCCCTCCTTCCTCCCTAATACCCTAAATTAAGAAGCAAGAACTTAAAATGTGTACAGGCAGGTGCCATCGTCACTCCTAGCAGTTGGGTCAAAGTTTTCTGCAGTTCGATCAGTACAACCTTCAGGAACTGGAACGTTGACTTGCTGGGCTGCTTTGCCTGCGCCAACACAACCAAATAAGCTTTAGTAAATTTTATGTTTTTGTTTTTTGTGAAGCCTAAACACAAATTCATTTGATGACTTTTCTAAATTAAGCTGGATGCAAACCTCCCCACAGGCCTCATATAAGATCAAGGGATCTAACCGTAGAAATTTCCACTATCAATAGCATCTGAGTTGGCATCACCAAGAGCAGCCTCGCTCAAGTACTTATCAGCCAATTGGACTCTCTTCACATTCTCTTGCTCTTGGACAAGCATGTTTCCATACTCAAGCAGCTTCTCGATTGTCATCTTAGGCTGCTCGAAAGTCGGGGGCCCTTCCTTTGAGTTCACAAGCCTCTTCCCAATGCCGTCAACCCCAACCCCTGTAATCCACTTCCTCACTTCATCGTCATAGACTCGGGCCCTCAGTGCACCAAAGAAATCTGCACAACCATGACACATAACCAAATGTTATCATTGTATGCAATTTCTTATAACATAACATGTCAGACTGTCTAATAAGAAAAGAGAAGGGGACTAAAACTTACCAATGGATTGGCCAGGGAAGGTGTCAACAAGCTTGACAATGTCTTCCGCAGCAACATTGTCACTCCTGAAGATCCCAAGGCAGACACCAATACGATCTTCGCGGGTAGGCGCCCAGTAGAACTTCTCCATACGCCCGTCACGGATGAGAGGAGCATACAATGTTGAGAAATCGTTACCGGTGACAATGATGGGGACACGGGGGTTATCCTCCTTGTTGTACATACCGGGGAGCTGGACATTTGTTGGGTTGTCAGCAATGTTCATGAGGGTGGCATTCACCATTTGGTTGTTCACAGTGTACTGTGTGGTTCCACCAAGCCGACCAGCTCCTGCATCAAGATCGTTGATGAAGAGTGCGCACATTTTGCCCTTCCTGATTATGTCAGCTGCTTCACGGTACCTTTGCCTGATCAGCTTCGCGGGTTCTCCTGCGTTTCCACTTTCCAATTCTCCGGCACTCATCATGATGGGGCTGAAAAAATGATCATCGTTAAAGGCTAGTTTCAGTAAGAAGCAGAACATAGCCTGACTACGTGACCATAAACTAGTAACATAGAATCTTAATTAATTAATTTATTTTTGTTACAAAGGAGCTTAAGGCCTAGGAAAAAGAAAAGCTTTGGCCTCGAATGTGAGGGTAAATACTAGCTACTTGCAAGCGACTCATAGAAAAATCATAGATTTCAGTCTCACCCAAAAATAAAAGTTAAGGAAATTCCTCTAGTGAGACTGAGACATGCAATAAGAACAGAACAGAACAGAACAGAACATGTATGGAAAGCATGCAATTGGACTGACCTGATTCCCATTTTGGCAAAGACAAGCTCGCACTGGAAAGATTTACCCTGACCTTTGCCTCCCCAGATACCAAGGATGAGAGGAACCTGCAAACAAAATCAAGAGATGATTTTTAAGTTGATTAGCTGCAATATAATTATGGAAGAAACTCAAAATTAATAATATAGTGAATTAGAGCAGTATGAGCATAATACTTTGATGTTAGGCAGGGTCATGAAGTTCTTGGTGATGTGGACAACAAGCTTGTCCATAAAAGCAGGAGCAATGTAAAACCCATCCATGTTGTTGTCCAAGTTGTACCTAAATTAAGCACAGGCTCTCATTAGCAAAGTACTATTAACAATTAATCTTTCATAATTAAAGAACTAATTGTGATCATATTTGAACTTACTGGCGAAGCCCGGTACTGATGTATTCATAAGAACTCATGACGGCGAAGTGAGTTCCAGCATCTTGGGGTGCTTGGAAGAGAGAGTCGACCATGCCCTTTCCTCTTGTGATGTCTTGTTGGTCATCTGAGTCGTCATAGGCAAGACCTCTCCATTTGTCCTTGTCGGTCTGCTTATCTTCTTCCACCTCTGCTACAATCCTGAAGCTCCCAGATGAAACCTTGGAGTTGGTGAATCTTGAGTTCACTTTCTTCAAGCTGCTGCCCAAGAAGGTTGAGCTTGGAACTGAAGCGCTGCTGCTAGAGCCATTTAGGCTCAGCTGCATGCATTAAAAGTGCAACAATTGTTAATTATGAATTTATGATCACCTTCCAAACAAACAAACCCATGTTTAATTCTTTCCCTTTGTTAATTATTAGAATTTGAACCATTATGCATCATATTAAATCTTGTCTAAATGTGTCGTCTAAATTTAAAGTATGACAATATATAGGCAATATGCTCGCAACATAAGTCTAAGTCTAAGAAGAGAACATTATTCTACGAATCTAATTAAAACGTATGTGCCATGCAGACACATGTTAGTATTTTTTTAGCTTCCTTTTAACTGGCACTAAGTTTGCATATACACTGATAAGTGAAGGCATAAACAAAGTGGGAACGACATAGTACCGGTGCCCTGTTGACAGCTCCAATGGTTGAGACAGCAGTAGCCATTGATCTCCGGGGTGGGGGGATTGGACGGTTGTGATCTAATGTGGCGTGAAAGAGAGGAGAGGCACTGTTACTGCCCTGTTTGCCTGCAAGCGAAGTATGGAGAGTGGTGTTTTGAGCGGAAAAGAAATGAGAACTGGTTTGGACTTATAGTACTTACTTTGAGTGTACAGAAATTGGTATCCTGAGGATTGGGTTCTTTGAATGGTTTTAGACCATAGAATCAAGATTGCCTTGCTGCCACGTGGCAAACAGAGAGTGCATGGAACTCCGTCCTTTGTCCGTCCTTGAGGTCAGTGTTCAAGCTCTCTTCTCCACACAAAAAGTAGGGAAAGTAGTAACCACAGAATTTGAGAATAGAAGCTTGAAGACGACCCATGTCTATTAATGTGTTGTTTTTCTGTTTTTTTGCAAGGAAGATGCATGGGAGATGGAAATTGACAGAATTTGAGATGAGGTGAATAAAATGTTTGTGACTAGCAACAATTGTCATGTCTATTTTTTTTTAAAATTCTTTTGGTTTTGTACAAAAATTTGAGCAAAATGTTTGCGCTATGGTAGAGAGGTCTCACATGCATTCGATCATATCAGATCAGACTAATGCTAGGGGACGAACTTCAATCAATTTTCAACAAGAATTTTATAGTGAGGGTCTTATATATGGTCCTTAGGTGAGATCCTATCTCTTAACCGTCGGATCAAATTAGTTAGCCTAATCCAACGGTTAAGAGGTAGGACCTCACCTAATGGCCATATATAAGGCCCTCACTATAGAATGACTTCAATTTTCAATGTAAAGGATAATACGCAAAATCAGTCGAGTCCAAGGCCCAAATTCGGAGCATACTGGGCTACCTTTTCGCATTTCAAAACACTTTAGACCTGGCTCAAGATATCTACATACTTACAATCTACCAAGTGTTCGACCATGATTCATTCTATAGTGAGGGCCTCATCTAAGGGCCTTATAAGGTCCTCACACCCTCACTATAGAATTCTACGTTTAGCCAATCCTAAATCCTATGAAAGTATATGGGATTATTGATTAAATTTGACTTCTGCCCAGAATAACTGATCAATATGACACAACACGACACATGCCACACAACACAACTCGATTGATTGCATCAGTCAAACTCTTGTTTAGTTTCATTCTAATAGTTAGTCCTACATGTCTCATTTGGTGAATCAACTTGGATAATACTGGATTGGACTTTAAGTATTGGACATGATTGACTAGTTAGGACTTGGGTTTTGAGTCTTGTCATATTGAGACTCATGTCTCAGCTAAGGACAGTTTGGCCTAATTACTTAGGACACTAATCAAGTAGATTAGTCCAGTCCACAATCTTTAGTAATACACCGAACTAAATGATTTTTTTTTTTCCGCCAAAGTTAGGAAGGAGAATGCGAATTTTATCACACACACACACACACTATCAAGATGTCATTGGGGTTTGAATATGAGATCACTGGTTTGCAAGTCAATACCTTTTTTCACTAAGTTAGACCAGTTGACAACTAGTTGAAGTAACTTAGAATAATCTTATATTGATTTCAACAACAAAAAAAACCAAGAACAAGAAAAGAGTTCAATGCATGACATCTTTGGGTGGCATTGGCAAGCCATACAACATCAAACATGATGAGGGAAAATGATGCACAATTTGTTCTCCGGTTTGTGAAGTTATTCACTACTATTCTCTCTTTTTGTCCTACGACAGACAATACAATTTGGGAAAGTCTCAATGGCATTGGTAATATACCACAATGGTCGACACCCAAAGAAAAGTAGAAACAATGGCAATTTCACCACTGTCATTTCTTATCTTGTCCTGCTGCTGAATATGGAGGACAAGATAAGAAAGAAAGCATAGCAAAATTAGCATATATGTATGTATATATGCTTCCATTGATTCTTTTAACTTTGAGCTTTTCTTTCTTATGATTAAATTCTCAAACTCTCAGAAATCAGGAGTGTCCTGTTCAGCAAGAAATCAGTAACTTGGAGACATGATTGCAATTTTAGATGGTAATTAAAATGTGATTAATTACTTGAGTTGATGACAGCTCAAGTTTTTTCCAATAACAACTGGATAAGGACTCACATGCATACAGCCTTATCTACAGCCAGAAAGCATGGGGCATTAGGCACATAAGCACAAACAAGAACCAATGTGAGAGCTAAGCTAAGAGCAAGCCTAGGCATTGCAGGTGGTAAAATTGCATAATTGATCCATGATAGAGAAAGACACTTTCATCTTTTAAGCATCTTTTAAGTACCCAAAGTTGACCAAAAAAAAAAAAAAAAAAATCAAGAACAAAAAAGAAGAAGCAAAAACTGAAGAGGTAACAGCAAAAAAAGGGAAAAAAAAAAGAAGAAAAAAAAGCGCATCTGCAGATGGATAAAAATGCATAATTAAACCATGATAGAGAAAGACACTTTCATCGTTACACTCGAAAGAAAAGACCCAATCCCACCATCCCCCCCTAGCATTCCTTTCTCATGCATCTACTTCACTCAAAGCCAAAGTTCTCACAGTTGTGAAATGACTTAAAGTAGAAGTTCATTTTGCTGCAAATGGCATTTTGTCTCCCTAACTCTCTCTCTTCCATTAGCCCAAGTATGCTTTTTAAGTCCTAGAGCCCTGAAGCATGCATATAGGCTTAAGGCAGCAGTAGAAGTTTAAGAAATTACAACTCTTTCCAGATAAGCTACTGGTTAATCTCCTGTTTCTTGGGCTTTGGGGGCATTGGCAGCTTGCTGTTTCAGAGCTTTTTGTGGTGTTCCGAAGACAAGAACAGTCCTCTAAGCACCGACTCTTAATTAAGTGGCCAACAGCCAACCTGATAATGTAGGATTAAACTATGGACATGGAGACTTAAGGCATGCATTATGGATTAAAAATAAGCTTAATAATGGAGAATTGGTAATATACAGACAAACAGACGCCATGAGTCACAGGCTATATATCCAATCCCTAAGCTATGAAGCTAGCATTAATAAGATAATGTGAAAATTCAGTCTCATTTGTTAAGAAAAAGAAAGTATGACATAGCCGAAATCCACCAACCCATCATTTGATTTTGACTCAAGGTATATAATAACTTGCTACAAGTTTCTCATAAGCTCCTCATGCACTGGCTCGTCGACTTATCGAATAGCTGCCCTAGTAAGTGGAGATAGAGGAGAATTCTATGGCCTGCTATACCAGAGTAGTTCAATTCAATATTTGTAGCCCTTACAATTTGTTGATTTAATTAATGGTGTGTTTACTAATCTGTAATCGGAATTAAAATAAGGAGTTGGACTTTGATTACAGATTACTAATGTGTTTACTTCACATCAAGGAATGAAGATGTACGTAGGGCTCACACAAAATCATGAATCCTGAGTTTGGAGGAATTGGACTCTTAGGTGAGTGAGAGGTGGTATTATGACTCCTAGAGAACAAACCCATCAGGAATTCATATCTTTCTACCTATTGTATCCTCACCTGCCCCGGTTCCAAATAATTTAGTAAACAACTTTAATGAAATTTGGATTCTAACTCATCCTCAATTCAATTCCTCCTTACCCGATTACGCATTAGTAAAAATGCCAAGTTGAGTTGGGTCATTGATATAGGGGCATAGAGGGTGGATCAAGACATATATTACCATTTAATTTGTTATTTCATGAGATATGTTATTTTCTTATTTAGATAGTTTTAGGATATCTTTTATTATTTATGTGTAATTTTATAATTAATTAGTTTACTTTTGGACCAAGTAGCCTTGGTACCCAAGTCTTGTAAAGTCTATAAATAAGGCTAATGTAATAGTTGGAGGGGTTTTTGTTGATAATTAATGAAATAGTTTATTTGTGACATGGATTTGCTCCGATATATGTGAGTTTACACTAGCCCTAGATTTCGGTGTTCGTGTATGTAGTTGGTGATTTATATCCATACCTCAATCCCCATCAGTTATGCTCATACATAAACTAGATTAATTGGTATGTATCCAGAAGCTATAATCAGCAAAGTTTAGAGCATCTCCAACCGACCAGTTAAATGACAAGTGACATGACAAACAGTAACAATTAAAGCTGCTTGGAGATCCAACCGAGTTGTCATTGCTAACATGGAAAAGAAGGCTGGAGCAAAGACGTCAAAATTGACGCCAACATACTGAGGCGTTTATTTCCTTGTTTTGAATTTTTTTATTTTCGTTGGCCCCACTTAGCTTTAATTACTATTACTATTTGTTGTCTTTGATTAGTGCCATTGGAATTTTCTTGTTTTTTAAACTCATTGAAAAATAATAGTATTTTTTAACATTTCAGGTCGAGTATAGAGTTATACAACATGCCAAATAGCCATATCAGCCATCAAATTCAAATTAAGTGTTTTTATATTTGACATCTCCATTGAATATGCTCTAACCAGTCATCTTGGTGTATATTAATTCTCATCAAGTCTAAAAAGTGAAAGACCCTCTCTCATACTTTCTCTCATTAGTGTTCCTTTGGGCAAGATATACTTTTTATTTATATGAGAAATAAAGTGAGATAAGGCATTCCATATATATGAGAAAGAAAAGTATAGTCATTGTACTTGCCTCCACTAGATATTCAAGCATAATATGTACTAATTAAAGCAATGATCTCTCATTTTTAGAGCCCAACTTATGAGGATAATGATTAGGTCTTCCATCAAATACTCTCATTCTTCAAGATTCTTTAAGAATAAAGACCTTTAGAGGCATTAATCAGTAGGAAACGTTTACCCAATTTGTGATTGATGATGCACCCCATAAAGGAGACCCAAAAGAACAACACTTTTCATAAAGTGAGAATGTCCTCTGTACAAAACAAAAGGAATACTTCTAACCCTTTTAAGTGATGGCTATAAAGACTAAATCTGAACTTTGGATATGAACCAGTCAAATTATAGTACCACCTGAAGAAAATCCCAGACACAGAGATTAGTACTAAAATCTTAGGACTATGACAGGATTGGGCTCTTCATGTGGAGCATGCAAGTTCCTGAGGAGAAAATGCACAGGGGAATGTGTGTTTGCTCCTTACTTCTGCTATGACCAAGCTGCAGACCATTTTGCAGCAGTGCACAAGGTGTTTGGTGCAAGCAATGTGTCCAAGCTGCTGCTACACTTACCGGTACAAAATCGAAGTGATGCTGCTATCACCATGTCTTATGAAGCACTAGCTCGAATGCGCGACCCTGTGTATGGATGTTTCTCACAAATCTTTGCACTCCAACAACAGGTTCCCATGCTGCTAATCACTCCAGCTTCTCACTTATACCTGTCATATCAAATTTCATGCACCATTTATTGTTTGATCTTACCTTGCAGGTTGTCTACTTACAAGAGGAGATCGAAACTCTCGGGAACCAAATGGTTAATTTTGCAACTGGCCATTCAAGTAACTCATTCAGTGAGCTACAAGTATTTTCACAACATGATGCTGTTGAGACACAATATCTTCAGAGTCAATTACCAGAACCGCTACTACTTCCCGTTATGGAAAATGCAACTGCCAACCAGGCATTTAACAGTCAGATGGATATACAGATGCCTCCTTTGCATGAATGGGAAGAAGTAAACCTATTTGGTTATCAGTCTGTGCCTGATCCTTTAGAGAGATTTCTTGAAGGTCCCCAAGAGAACTTGGAACATAATCCATGGTTGAATGAGACTGCCAACACCAGGAACTATAATAAAGGTTCTAGTTGGGATTTATATTAGCTTTCAAAAGAAAAAGCAGGAGCTAGTGCAATGTCAGAAATCCATGGGTCTAGGAGAGGACAAATTTTGTACTGGCCTAGAAGCCCTGATTTTGCAATCTGGTCAAATGGCCAAAGTTTGTGAGTCTTTTCCTTCTTTTGGTTTTCTTCATCTGTTCAGCTTGTCAAAGTTGTTGGATTTGGTAGTTTTTCTGTGAATATGCTCCTTCTATATCAGGTAAGAATCCTCCTATTTATGGTATATATCTTGCCTTTTTTTGTGTTTTTTTGGTTCCGCAATTGTTGGTAGATCGTATTTCAACAAAACCCTTTTCCTGGATCATATTAGACATTATTCTGCTTTATACTACAACGCCAACCCTTGTGGTCATTTCAGAGTGTTTGATTAACGCTGCGTTTGATAATGCTCATTGCTCATCATGACAGTGTTAAAAGTGCTTTTAAATAACTAAAAGCACTTTTTAAAGCAATAATAGTAGTAGTAATAATAATAATAATGTTTGATTAGTACAGATCAAAAGTGTTGTAATAAGCATTAAGCACCGAGTACTACTAGACGTGGGTATTGATGCCACCAGCCGTTGCAGCCACACGGTGGTCGGGAGAACCGCCAAGCTCGTCTGAAACTGGAAGACCCATAAAACAAGAAACTAAGAGCATCTCTAAAGGAGATGTCAAATCCAACGAGTAGAAAAATAAATTGAGACTCACTTCAACGGAAATGTTAAATCCTATATGAAATAACATCTCTCTTACTGTTATTTTTGGCTATTTGACCTTGTGATGTCATTTCACTATTTTATTATTATTTTTCAATTAATGTGCTTAAATTGTTGTAAACTAATAAAAATATATATAATAAAATAATATTTAATTTCACATGTCAGGTGGAATGTAAAACTTTATCATATATCAAATTGCAACATAAGTCATCAAATTCAAATTTAATGTTTAATATTTGCCACATGAATCATACATATATTTTTTTTCTTTTAAAAAAATAATCAAATATACCATACATGTTCTTTGTTTTCTGAAATTTCCTTTCTCAATAGGTTTTCTTTTTTCTTTTTTCTCTTTGAAGTATGGGCTTTTGTTAATTTACCACTTTGATGTTGATGATTTTTTATTTATTTATACATACGATATTCTACTTTAAACCAATCTAAACTAGAGAAATGGTGATTCGAACTTAGGCGCATAATGAAGAGCACATCCACTCTAACAGACATAGCTAAGCTGATATCGATGATTTGTAAGATTGAGCCCTTCTTATCCCCCTCCATTTATAATGCTTCTCTTTCATCCGTGGAACTCTTTTAACGCAGTAAATAACATTCGTAGGCCTGCAATGGGACCTAATCTATATGGACCAAGTCTACTTGAGACACGTAGAAAGACTGGGCTGTATACGACGAAAGATCAGAATGAGAATAGTATTGTTCTTGTTCTTATCCCACCTAAACTGGTTAGCCCAAACCGGTCCAACTTCGCTTCACTTCTCGAAGCTCATGGCCTGGGACCCAGCCCTATTTGTACACAAAAGTCTTGGCCAACCATAACACTTTTTTTTGGTAAGAAGGCAAGAATTTCAAGAATTTATATAAACTCATAAACAATATAAAAGTTGGCAAGACCCAGAAGCTTAAGATCATTCAAGTAGCTTGGCAGAAAAGAAATGGACACCAGTTTAGAGCAATCTTTGTAACTATCAGACTTGAATCAGACAATGGTTTTTATCTGTTTTTCCTGTAGACTTAACCAACTATTCCAAATGGTCTCACAAACCTAACATATATGAGGAAATGGAACATCGTTGTCTTGGTGCAAAAAGGTCGGAAGAAAATGGCAAATAGTACAAGGTTTTCATTCAAAGAAGTAGTTTGAAACTCTTTCTCACAACAACTCATCAATCATGTTCTTACACTTCGATTTATTTTTCATCATCTCAAGTTCCGTCAATTAAATTCATGCCAATCAGTGAAAGAACAATAACATCTTGGGTAGCAGAAGTCAAAAGACATCCAACCAAACATTTAAAGATAATAAATAACCACTTCTTGGCCTATCTGTAACTTTTCAATATCAGTTACCAACTTGGAAAACCAAACCACCCTTGACCAAACTTGAGGGGAAAAACAATACCGCAAAATTCTATGTCACTCTTCCATAATAATGCAAACTATTTCTGTAAATGATATCATGCTTATGACAAATCTAATAACTTTCCCCAGTTTGCCAACTTCTATATAAGCATTACAAGGTTAAAACAATTAGAAAAGCATATCTAATCTCTCACTTTTAACAAATGATCATAGATTTTCTGGAAGAATAAAAAAATTATAATTAAAATGGCACATATGTAATTAAAATGCATATCTATCCAAGGTTTGAACATGGGTTAGTAATTATTTGTATGCTTGCATATGAGGGGAAATGAATTCCAATTAACTACTTGATGACCTAAAAGAATGAAGTCTTCTTGCTACAATACCTTCGGTTCAGCTATTTCTTCACAACTTGTTCAAAGTTAAATGAGTGTGAAAGAAAGGAGAGTACCAACAATAAAAGGTCTAAATCTACACTCAACACATAACCATCTAAAAAACTTTCACATCCAAGTTTCTTGTTACTCTTCAACAACTTGACAATTACTGTAAAAAAAAGGAAAAAGAAAAGGGAAAAACATGAACTTATATGCTCAAGTAATTTGAACACTAAGAATCTGTGATCTCTAACCTCCAACACAGCGAAAGTGTCTCAGTGCTCACTGTTGGTCAAAAAGCCACTAGTTAAATGCAATTAATTGACAGACCATTGGTTCCCTCCTGCTTGATTCTAGAAGACTCGGGAGATATTGCCAACATCTTTTGCTTCCAATAAGAAGCAAGACAAAGTGTGTTTAATTAGGGAATAATGAATGATGTAAGTTTGGGGCTACCACAGTAAGAATTTGATTCCAAAGACAAGTAATGGAAGATGAGAGAAGATGGGAGAGGGTTCCTAAACAGTTCTCTGTGACCAAATGGCAATTCTCTATACTTGGGTCAAATCTGTTGACCCATCAAATCATAGTGCATAGAAACCCTAAAGCCCCGGCAAGCATAAAGCATATCCATAACAACTTGCTCTCTTATGGCAACTATCCAAATCATCCATAATGATCATGTCAGACCATGCACTTAACCTGCAATTCAACTTGCATCTAACTATGCATGGAACGAGACCCATTTCTGGCAAGATGCAGATGAATCAACCCCACCAGGTGACAACTCAAATGAAGATAAGATATACATAATAATTTCTCAAGTTGGAGATACAAATATATGACAATATGCTTTCTAGGCATCACTGTTGTTCTTGTTACATAAATTATTATTGAATGCAAAGATAAAATATTTGGAAGGCTTACCATAAAGGAAGAATTTCACAAACAGTTTGCCATGAAATTTCAATAGCTCCAATCCAAACCCCCATTTCTGCACTATTTTCTTCTTTGCCTACACCATCATTAATGTATTCTTCCACAAGAAGATTAAACGAAAGGAACAAAGGTAACATCCATGATGATCCACCAGTTTTGAAACATAGCTACTCAAGAAAACCTAACAACAATCTAAAAACATTGAGATTCAGTGATTCACAAGCAAAAGATAATAAACAAAATAGTCCTACCTGCTGCTTGCCTACAAAAAAGCTCTACAAAAAGCATTTATTTTTCAAAACAAACAAAAAAAAAACAACAAAAAAAAAAAAAAAAAAAAAAAAAAAAAAAAAAAAAAGAGAGTCAGTGATGAAACCAAGCACCCTAAACCCTTTCTCTCAATACGATGGAGGAGGGGGTCTGGGAGGAGGAGGACCCCAAAACACATCAGGAGGCATCTGACCATTTGGAAGCAAATTTGGAGGCAAATTATAAATGGCCATTGAACTAGTATGTTCACCCAAACCTTGAGAACCTGAATTCCCTCCAGTCCCTGCCGAATTCACACCTGATTGTTGCTGATGTTGCTGCACCTGCATCCCTCCTTCTCCAGCTTGCTCATCCTCAAGTGGCAACCTCTCGTAAGTTGCGTTTGTAAACGTCGCCGCAATGACCATCACAGGGCCTGAAGCCACCAATGCCCCCATCACGGTCCCGCCCACCACCTGCCCCTGTCCACCGGCCAAGTACACGGTAAGCCCCGTTGCCCCGGGCGGGGAGGGAGAGGGCAGGAAGGCACCCGACAACGACAAAATCTCGAACCTCCCGTGCAGCGTGATCACTCCACTTGGTGCTGCAGGATGTCGTAGAGTTACATTGGCGACAATGCCGCTTCCGCTCAGAACCGAAACCCCTCTATGCCGCCTTTGGGAAAAGGTGGCAATGCTATCCACAATGTCGCTGCCGCTGCTGATTTCCAGGACGTGGCTCCGGAGCGCGTTGGGGCTCTCTTTGGTGATGATTATTGGCGGTTTGGGCTTGTTTTTCGACCCTGGAGGTCTGCCACGCGGTCTCCGGTTGCTGCTTCCCGGCTCGAGGCTGTCGTGGCTGCCGCTGCCAGTGTTGGGGTCCTGATTATCAGCTTCGAGATCGTCGTTGTCCCGACCGTCTTCGTGCTGTTCGTGGTTTTGCTTGTTAGGGGTTGTTGTGGGGTTGCTGGTGCTGCTGTTAGTGGGAGTGTTGGTGGTGTTGTGGTCTTCGAGCTGTTCTTCTGTGTTTCTGAGGTGAAGAGATGGAGGAGTTGAGGAGATTGAGTCCACATGCCCTCCTCCCATGGCTACATTTCCAGCCCACCATCGATTCGCCATGGATTTCTAAATCTTAGAAAGGAGAAAACCCAAAACTCCAAATCCAAATCCAAGCAAGAAAGGAAACAAATCCCAGAGAGAACCAAACAAAGCTCCTGTCTTTACACTCCTTCTGTTTTTGGTTGGTTTGAATTGGATAACGACAAGCACCGAGCTAGCTAATTAAGGAAGGCAAAAGATCAAATCTTTAGCCTCGCTTATTACACACCTCCCTCTCTCTCCCTCTCTCTCTCCCCTTCTTGTTCTTTGTTTGGTTGCTGTTGCTGCAGAGCAGTGTAGTGTCTTAGATTGAGATTTCCCTGATAAGTAACAAAAAAAAAGAACAATCCTCAAATCCAACAGATACAATCCAAAACCTCACCCAAACCCACCTAGCCAAATCTATCTCTCCCCTTGTTTTTCTGCATGAAAACCCTAACAACATTCAACTTTTCCAAATCCCAGAATCAGATCCAACCAACAACATTTAAAATCCAACTACCCAAAACCCACTTCTTTAAACCAATTAACATTCACCAACGATCTAACCTCAACGCTCTTCAAAAAACCCCAGTCAGAAAGTAGAAAAAGATTCACCTATTTTAGCTGACAACACCATCGTCCATGTCTGCTAGCTACTATATATACATATATATATAATATACGTGTATATTAGGTAGGTACTACAACCACAAAGACCAAAGTGCATGCCTTGTGTTGTTGTGTTTCTTTTCTGTGGTAAGGTAAGCCTCAAGCAAGCAGCATCCTTAGACCTCGGTTGCTTTCAATAGTGGAGAATCTCTGGTTGGTTAGTACGAGCAAACTAACCCAAGATTGTGTTTGTGTAGTAGGGGCCTGCTTCCTCCGTATTTTGAGCATTGAAGCCTCTCTCTCTTTCTGCTGCTGCAAAGTCTGAACCTTTTTACCATTTTTGGGGCTGCGGGGCGTACGTTAAGTGTCCCAACGCTCCCTGGCGTACGATAACACTTCCTGCAGCATCACTCGCTGTACCCATATCTATCTAATAAATCTCTGTAAGAACAAGAAAAGGAAAAAGAAAAAAAGGCGGTTTTGCAGAGCCTGGTTTTCTCTTGTCTCTGGTAAACGGTGTTTGGTTTCTGTACAAGTTCCGAGCTCCAAGTTGAGTGAGTTTCTACACTCCACACTCACTCTTCAATACCCATGTAGACTCGCCAACCGCAACGAACCAACCATGAGGAAAAAACACTGTCTTGGATTCTTGAAATTACTGAAGTGCCCTTTTTGGGTGACGTGTGGGGTTGTGATTTGACTAGATGGACTGCACTGGTGGTGGAAAGGTACAGGGGATGTGTGCAAGGAAGCTTAAGAGTTGGACTTTATCTTTTTTTCTCTCTACACAGAGAGAGAGAGAGAGAGAGAGAGAAGGGGAGAGGTGTGGGTGTGGGGTAACGTGCGCATGGAGTAGTGGGAACACGTCACTGTCTGCGAGTCCCGACAAGATATCGAATGCCAATGTCTGGAACATCACCGCCAAAAAAACCGAGCCAGAAGAGAAGAGGCTTAACCCCAATCAGCCACCCCATACATATGAGTATGACATACAGAGAGGGAGAGAGATAGAGAGAGAAACATTGATGTCTCCCTTTCTTAATCTGCTGCTGTAACTTTTGGGTGTACAATGTTAATGTTTATATCGTAGAACGTTTTATTATGTAAGGTCTAAAATGTAATTACAAGCAGAGCCTAGACCATTGAGCAACTGCAGTAACTAGAAGAACAAATGAGAAAATGAAAAACAAAGTTGCATTTCATTTGGGAGTGTACCAAATTGCCATTGTATTTTGTATATAGAGTATCTTTTTCTTTTTGGCTTTACCAAGGCCAGCCAGTGACCACTGTGACTGTGCTGTGCTGTGATGTATTTGAAAAGTTGATGTGGGCTTATGACCAAACTTGTCCTGGTGACAGGTTTCTAAGAACTTTAAGGTCTGGCTGGAGGACTTACCTACACTTGTACTTGAATACCAGTGAATGACCCTGACCAGGCTGACCTGACCCAACAAGCATATTGCTTTGCATATTTATCCATTCATATTTAACTTTCAATCAAATATTACCCATTGACTATAAATAAACAAAATGAAAATGGATTTGTAATTAAAACCCTAACCCTATTGTATGCAATGCAACAACTTTCATTTGGGGTGTGTTCTTATTCGTCGTCTATTATGAAGTAGCAGCAGACGATTGGAAAGCCGTAGGATAAGATTTGAAAACTCTTAGGAGAAGATTTTTATCTACTAAAACCAAAACCCCCCCATCATAAGTTAACTCATAAATATTGAGCAGATTTACTCCTACATACATGATGCATATAAGAAATTTTCAGAAAACATTGTGGAAGAAATGACTTGGCGGGCCACGTAGTTTTGACATTAGAATCTTCAAGCCCCCACTCATGTCACCATACCAATTTCTTCACGAAATGTCATTTTCTTTTACATTTTTCAAACCATCTGGTCCTGACCTAAGCCCCCTTGTCTGACCCAAAAAAACAAAAACCTTAGCCCCTCGGAAAAAGCATTGGGAAATTGGCCGGCTTGAGTAAATATTGGTAAAATGGCATCTTTTTTTTACAACTTTTTAAGTCAAATTTGGTCGGCTTTAACTTAATTAAGTGGAATGAGTTAAGTAGGGTGAGAAAAAGCTAGTGAACAAGCTCAAATGAGCAAAACGACTTTAAAAGCATAATTGTTTGTTAGGAGACCATACCAAAATAAAGTTGATACTCAACTCGAACTCCTCAAGCAATTCAATTCAATAGCATAGGCACAAACAAGGGTTCCAAGCTGAGGGAAAATACTATTTAGAAATGGCAATCTCGAGTTCTTTTCTGTACATTGTTGAATAAATCGATACAAAAATAAAAATAAAAATTTCACCATTCTGGGTAGAAATCAGTCCTTCACTTCCAGATTCTCAATATAACAAAAATTGGGGTGGGGAAGTCCAAAAGCCTAAGGAGCCAAATATGATGATAGATATCTTTAGACAAAACCAAATATTCATCTGGCGAATACACTACAACAAAAAGTTATGTGGAGGCAAAGATGAGCACACCATTTTAAGCAAGTTGAAGATGAGTAGTACTATAAAGATCGATCCGCTTGGGCTTCCAAACCTCTAGGTATATATAGTATAGCAGTTCCCTCGGTTATATAACATCAAATTAGCAGGGCCGCCCGCTAGTTTCTATATCGTCCAACTTCAGAACACGACCGGCTCCCTGTGTACTACTCAATGGTCATGATCATGGGTGCTTATTAACATGCATTACCAATAACAGCTCTAGTTGCAACGACTATACAACACTCTACCTTAACTGCCGGAACCTTCAGCACAAGTCGTATCAGTTGGAAGTAAAGTATCCGTTGCTTCAGAAACTCCTCCTGTTTCACCTTGTTTAGTCTCTGACTGCTCTAAAATTGGATCACGGAAAATCTCAGACTGCAAGGATGGAGCAATGTTATTTACATGTCGCCATGTCAGCTCCCACAAGCTATCATCTCCTAAATCACTTCTCTCCACAAGAACTCCCCTTAAAATCATTACAAGCAAGGTGTTCTTAAGTAGCTCAGGTACTTGGTCCCGAAGCTTATCACTTTTCTTCCCCCCAACTTTCACCTTCATATATTTTTCCATTCGACTGAGAACGCCCAGCCATAATTTGCAGAAAGTTGTTAACTGTGATAGGTCAGGTAGTAGCTGCAGAAAAACTTTGGACAAGAGCTTCAAGGCAAGGATAAGTGTGCCTTCCATGTTCCGGTAGTCCTTTGGGGAGTGTCTCTCTGCAATTTCAAGCAAGTCATCAAGCATTGTGAAGATCACCATATCAAAGCACTGCAACCAAAGACCAGGTGGAAGAGGGATCCCATCCACTCCAGTCAAGCACTTCCGTAACAAGGACAGAGCATGGTTCCTAACCTCTTCTCTCTGGTCTAAACAAACTTTTCTCAATCCCTGAACAAGCCGCAACCACATTTCCCCGATATCTTGAGACATTTTCACAGCTTCCTCATCATTCATAGATTGCTTAGCCTCACATACCCACCTTGCTAAACAATCAACAGATCCCGCCATTAGATCAAGTGCACACACAGATCGGTCTACCTCCCCAACACGAGACTCAGCAAATTGTCTTGATGCATCAACACATAGAACATAATTGGCTGGCAACAAGTGAGTTCCATCAGACATAATGAAGAACAGCGCATCAAATCCAGCCTCAGAAGCTTCCGGGTGCCGAGCAGTGATTGAGAGCAATGACGTAATTATGCGCCACCCCAATTGTGATCTTATGTGAGAGGCATTTGCTTTCACAAGGCGGCCGACTTCCTGTGTAATTTGCTCACAGTATGCATCAGCAACCCGTGCATCAAGCTTCAAGACAAGTTGCAGTGACCTCAAAAGTTCATCCGCAAGGTTCTCTTTATAGGGAAGCAGCCGCTGGCAAATCCGAAGAAGTCCAAAAACAGCCTTCTCTACCAGCGCACAAGGCATCACAGTTGACTGAACAATGTTTGATATGTGCTCATACACAATCTGCCAAAGAAGCATAATCCTATCCCTATTATTTAAGGTAATAGCAATCAGCAACTCCAAACAAAAAACTCCAGTATCTTCATCCTCGGGTGAGCTGCTCCCTTTGTGGGGTCGTCCTCCAGCCCAGATCAGTGCTTGTGCAAGTTGCGAGAGGGATTCAGCCTGCAGAAACTTGCTATCAGAAAAAATGCCATCAATGTGGCACTTTTGAACTGTCTGAAGGGTGCGTTGATGAGCAGCAAGTTCTTCTTCAGTAGGCTGCGATCTCGGCTCCTCTGTGTCAAGAGATAGGAGTTGACTAAACCGGCCCATCAATCCAGAGGATCTCCTAGGAGTACTCACAGAGGGCATATGGACAGAAGATAGAGAATTGGTTATGGGGTTGCCATGACCTGTGTCAGCAGAAACCTCCGAATCACCAGCTGCTTCACTGGCTA